GTTGTTGTTGTTGTTATTTACAGCAGTGCAATTGTCTTGTCAGAAATCCCTATTCTTCAGAAATTCCAGTGCAGCGGCTGTGGCATGGCTGATGGCTGCTACAGTTTGTCATGTTTAGATGTTTGTCATGTTTCCATCACAAGCCAGCTGTGATGGCAAATTGCTTATTTACTATTAGCTTAGAACAATTTCTTACAGCTCACTGTGAACACACTGCTTTAGATGTACATTAAACATTAACCGCTGACCTCATGCAAAACATGTGCGAGAAACAAGGTGTCATAGCGATAGGATTTCTTTCTGTTATGCAAAATACGTGACTATAGGGCTGTTTGTGTTACTGTGTGTAAACCTCAGGAGAGTTCTCCACTGATTAATTTACCAAAGCCATCCTGAAGTAATCTTAGCCCTGTGTCTTCTCCGTACCACAAACTAGCTCAGTATGTGCTATTATCAGCGTATTGCCTCAGAATGTTGTACCACAAATAAGGACTGGAGACACTAAGTGGAATTAATGAGTTGTTGCCTAGTTAAAAATTAAATAGCAGTTACAAATGACCTGAACTATAGTGAAGGCAGGATTATAAAAGTTCCACACTAACTAGTAAATAAGCATACTGGTAAACTGGGTTTTTAAAGAGTCTCAAGATAGACATGAAAGTATCCGTCAGAATTTTTCTGTTACATGTCTATATTAGCTGTAAAAACAAGCAGAGCGAGACTTGCAAGTGAAACAGCTGCGAAAGTGCATTTCGCTGCTCAAATGCTCGTCTCGGAGCAAGTTAAAAACTCAGGCGATTCTTAGATGTTACGCTGCAGTAGCTGATCAGCTATTTCCACATAAAAAGAAAACCCTGCCCACTCTCTGCTTGGGCACCAAAGATGTCAGCACAGCTAATGCCTGAATCAACAAATCCAGCTGTGGATATCCCTCGACTCTGCCTGTGTCCGTATTACTGCTCTTTTAAGTTAAGGGCCTGTGAAAATGGCTTCATGATGACAAAGAGCACAGTGGCACAGCAGCTTCAGCGCTGCCGGGGAGGCCGGATTCAGCGTGTGACCTGTGCCGTTGCTTCGTAGCCGAATTAATCACGCTGCGCCGAGGGCTTGGATTTGGACATAAATAATTAAAGGTAGCACTGTTCCTCACTTGATCCTGCAAGTCCCAGTCTCTGTTGCTAGATGTCAAAGGCAGCTGGGTGGTTATGGAGGCTGCAGGGAAATACTGAAAGAAATCAAATACTTTCAGTAATATTTTAGTGGCGCGGTAGGCAGGGCTCAGTGCGCACGCAGCTCGCGCGAAGCCTGAGAGTTGCGTCACGCAGCTCCGTGAAGTCAAGTATTTTGCTGAATCGGGGCCATATGGCTTGAGAGAGTCTTATCAGAGATCGATTCCCGTGTTGCGCAGCTGCCTCCCTTCGCCGTGAGGATTTCACTGCTTTAAGGAAGGAAAAGGAGGAAGCGTACCCTGGCCTCTCAGGAGCAGGGTGGCTCGCTTGAATTCGAGGCCGCAGGGCAGGTTCCGTCCAGAGGAGTCAGTTCTGGAGCCGGGCTCCTCGCAGGTGATCGTTCCCTTCGCTCCAGGGACTTCATCGGCTACCTGCCAGGCAAGAGCGGCACCTGTAGCCCAGAGAAGTACTAGGTTGTCCTTTGTTGTTTAAAGTTTGAAAAAATTGCCACTTCTCTAAGGTTTTTACTGCAACAGTTAGGCGGGAACTTTCCTGACAGACTGTTAACTGTTGTCATTTTAAAACTCCCCTCTCTCTCCCTTATTTCTGAAAAGAAGACTCAGCTAATTACAGCTTATGATACTGACATACATTGTCAAATGAAAAATAAGATCTTCAACATCTATTACTTTTTCCTAACAGGCTGACTTAAACTGCAACATTCAAGATGATACAGGAGCGTTTTACGGAGTCACTAGTCAGTACGAGAGCTCAGAAAACATGACAATCACCTGTTCCACCAAAGTCTGCTCATTTGGAAAGCAAGTAGTAGAAAAAGTAGAGGTGCGTGTTGTGATGGGATGTGTGGGATGATTCTCTGGTTCCCTTTCATTTTAATTAGGCTTTTCCTCTCTCTTGTCTTTACTTTGCTTTTATCTGTCTTTTCCTTCCTTCCTCTAATCCTTCCTGAAAGACTGTTTTCCTTCCCAGCAGTGTTTCAGGTTCATTTTAAATCACCGTGTGAATGGTGACACTACAGTTACGTAAAATCCCAGTTACCTGTTGCTTTGGAGACCCTCCCTCCCTGCCTGTGGCACCCTTCGGTGGGGAACCTGCAGCTGACGTCAGTGCTGCCTCCTCCATCACCTGGCAGGAAAAAGCTGAAGCAAAAATGCTTTTGCACCCATTTCCAAACACTTGGCCAGCCACGTAGCCTGTTTGGAGCCATACTACAGTGACAAGCTACCTTCTATCCAGCTTTTTTTAAACATTTTGAAGCCATGGATGGTATGCTCTGTTTCACCTATACCCATGCTTATTTTTTCTTACTTTATGCACAGAAGGACATGCTTTCCCCAGTCACCAGCAGCTTTTGAATACAAAGTTGCGTATTTTCTTAATATGCAAGGGCCTTTATTTATTTATTACCTTTTCTAAGCACAGAACTCTCTGTCATGGTCACGTAGCTATCTATCTGGTTTACTGTACAATGGCACTGCAGCTATTTAACTTGTCTCCTGTGTGCCAAGCCCCACACCCACATTTGTTACCTGCAATATAGTTTTTGTACGGGCACTTTAGCCGAGAGCTGCAGGTTGAGCCTTTATAGATGTCCCGGTCACTGTTCATATTCTTCTTATACTAAATATGTTTTCTGTGCATGGTGACCATAAAAGTTTTCCATTACTTCCATTATTCCAAGCTTAGAGAAAGACAAAAAACCCCACAAGCCACTGAGTACCTGATCTGAGCAATTGGTAGCTGGGCAGCAGGAGTCCAAGAGTTGCAGCCGTACCTTCCTTCGGCCCCTTGTGAGCTCCTGCAACCTGAATCAGTCTGGTCTTCCTCTGACTGTAGTCTTGCACCTTTCTGTAATTCATAAATTGCTTATTAATGCAAAAATATAGCTATGTCTATATGTGTATATTTATGCATAAACATCTAAGCTTATTTTTGCTGTTGCCTTTGTAGACAGTTGCCTCGAGACTACTGTAAAATCATCTTACCACTAAGTTGGCTGCTTAATTCGTTTTTACTTGACTTGGACTTACTTTTGTGTACGCCTCATCTGTTGAGTTTTTTTAATTCACAGGTTAGAGAACAACTAGTGATACTGTAACTTGTTTTAATAATTAAGGGCCCTTGAATTTTTAGGAAGGCACTGCATTAGCTTGGGCAGGGAGTTAGCAAGTGGAGGGGTGTGCGTCTGAGAGCCACTTTCTCTTTTCTCTGTCTACACAAAGAAAAAAACAGGTTTAGTGTTCACGTGTTTGCAATTTCTGAATTATCTTATCTTATTCTAAGTGCTTTTTTTTTTTTTAGACTGAATATGCAAGGTTTGAGAATGGCCGATTTGTGTACAGAATAAATCGCTCTCCGATGTGTGAATATATGATCAACTTCATACACAAGCTGAAGCATTTACCAGAGAAATACATGATGAACAGCGTGTTGGAAAATTTTACGATTTTATTGGTATGGACTCACTTTTTATTTTTCCATTTCTAAAATACTCTCAGGCTTTGTATGGCTTGCTTAACTTGTAATATTTAGAACCAGTTTCCGAATCCCTTAGTCATGTTGCTTACTAAACAAATCATCCCATTGACTTCAGAGTAATACTCTTGGAATTGTGCACTATAGACGCTGAGGATGAAAAGGCTGAGCTGGCTGAGAACATGAACAAACATCTTACAAACATCTTTAGTTACTTTCCAAAAATTCAGCTTGCTTCTCCCTATTTTTTCATGCAAGTCTCTATGTGGTGTTTGTAGAGAGCCCGAGGCAGTAACTTTGAACCATCCCATTCATTTAATGTGTTCTTACCGGGATGCCAGTTATAATACTGCAAATGTCAGTGGTGTTAATTAGTTCTTGGGCCAGGAAAGCATGCAGTAATGGGTACACCCAATAGGTGATCTAAACCATGAAGAATGGTCCACAGAGTGGCCTTTAAACCAGTCTCACCCAGTTACCCAGCTTGCTTTCACTGTGGCTTTGCGGTGGCGCCTCAGCCAAGCACTTAGAGCCGTGGGCTGCTGCCGCTGCCGTAAGATTGGGGCAGACCCCAGGGCCGGCGACGTGGGGAAGACGTAGGGCCCGGAGCATGGAGCCACGTGCACCCTGCTCAGCTGCCGTTGGCAGGCGAACACAAGGTGACAAGGGTGCGCTGGCTTCCCTCTGCTGCAGCAGGACCCAGGTTGAGGAAGGCTGAGCCAAGAGCACGCGATGGTCAAGCAGCCAGGGTGGGATGAATCTCGGCGCCTTCTGCTGGGAGCTCTGCCCCAGAGCAGAGTGTGCGAGCGCAGTCGCGGAGGTCGGCTGAAATGGCCAAAGAGAGCGCGAGAGGATACGCGTTTCAAACAGCCACATCCAAAGATTGTCTAAACTAAGCCAGTCATTTCTTGGTTTGGCCTTGGTGTTTCCAAGTCCCTCATACACCGTCTGCCTCTTCCTTCCCCTCAAACAGGTTGTAACAAACAGGGATACACAGGAAACCCTGCTCTGCATGGCTTGTGTATTTGAAGTGTCGAACAGCGAACATGGAGCACAGCATCACATCTACAGGCTTGTAAAGGACTGAGCAGTTATTTATATATACACTTCATTTCACTTCTTTATCAAAACACAGACTGTAAACCTCAACACTAAGTGGCAGTGCCTCTGGCCCAACTTTCACCCACATTTTTCTAAATCCTGTTTTAGTGAAGTCATTTTTAATGTGTTCATATATAATTGTAGCTGTGAAATTCTGGTACAGTTGTAAAAATTATTTCTAAAACTAAGTGTTCTTCAAATTTGTAAACCACAGTTCTTTGGGAAGACTGTATTTAAGAACCTAACGCCTCTGTCTGTGGAGGCCTATTTTTAATTCTGATAGAAAAATGTATGACAGAGCATTTGCCATGGGGAAAAACTGACAGCATTTATAAGAATTTATTTTGGGTTTTTTTCCAACATTAAATACTTGTTTTATGATGCAAGTGAAATTGAAATGAATCTTTAGCTATAACTGTAAATGAGTACGCAAAGTTAATAATCTTTATAGAATTATCTTTGTAACTAATTAGGGTGGAAGATATGGACGAATGTAATTCACTAAATTATTTTTTAAAATGAAACGTTTTTCTGTTTGAAACCAAATGAAAAATATAGCCTTAAGAAATGCCTGATAGAAACAGACAGGTCCTAAAATTAGGCAAATTTTGTATTTTTTTCTCAACGCTAAAACTAATCTTCTAATCCATTAAACTTTCAAACAGGTATTGCAGAGAAAGAAAACATCATCCCTTACCCCTAACATATCTAGTGTATTTTAAAAGAGTATAAAGTTGTATTGTACTAATATGAAAATTTGAGTATTTAATGAAAAAGATGGCTCATTTTGCAATAAGTAGGTAAATACTGAAGATTTAGACTCGCATTATATGTAGTCTTGTGTGTGCAGTTATATTTTGTATGGACAACTACGTTTTCTAAGAAGTTGAGTGAAAAACTTGCAACTCCGAAATTAACAGATGAACGGAAACAACTGACATTGCGACAGCATTAATTCGTAAACTGAAAGCAAAACACTAATTAGTGTTTGAAAGAAGAATACGTACACCTCTGAAAGGATCAACAGCTTTAATATCTATGAGATGCTAGAAAATCAGAACCAACATCAGGCAAAGAAGATTGGAAAGGGGAGATTTTTTTTTTCTCCTTTTCCTCTTTATCATGGTGCTCTTACACCTCTCCCCATTGTCTCTCCAGTTCCGACTGGCGAAGAGCTTGTATGAAAGAAACACGTGCGTACCACGTGGGGTCTGATGTCCTTTTGCATCCGGATCTGGTTAGTATTTATCCTTCTGATATATTCAGGGAAGACTCCAGGAAGTGAAGTACAGCTGGAGATATTTTAATACTGTAAGGATTCAAACCATGGATGTGGGTGTGAGCGATTGTCCGAGATACGCACACGTGAGCGAAGTAGTCTCATTCCTCCCGGCTACACCAGAGAGTGTTGCTCAGTCTCTTTTCCTCTGCTGCACGGGAGCACCGCCCCGCCGCTGCCCAGGCAGCAGTTGTTTCAGCAAGTGCTGGGCCAGCAGTGGGTTCTCACGTGGAACACTTGTCTGAAAGGCTGAGGGCTGCCCAGCCAAGCACAAGCCACCTTAAAGATCAGTCACGAGGTATCGGCAGAGAGCATTCTTTGGGAAGGCCTTTTGCAGTCCTGCATCGGAGAAGTTAACATTTAGCAGGTCCCTCCTCCCTGCCCTTTACCCATGTGTGTCCATGCACAATTTCAGTCCAGAATTTACTCCCAGGCACAGCGCTATAGTCTTCAAAAAAGCCAGTCTTAATTTTTGGATTTTATATTTCTCCGTAGTACCCTCTGTTAGCATTGCCCGTCGTTGAATTATCCAGACTAGAACGTAGCCTAGACGAGGTAGCGGGTTGCTGGCTGTCTGCGTCAGACCGGGTTCATCCTTAACGCTGGTGAGGACTCGGGTTAGAGAGGGATACAAACATCACCAAGGGGAGGGGAGACTGCTTAAATTCCTTAGCCTGCCTCTGATCTAACTCTAGTAGGTGGATGATTGCTGGGATGTCCAGCTGTTACCTGCTTGTGGATATTAGGGCTGATGATCTTTTGGTTTATATTCCGTGAACTGAACAGAGAAATATGTCCATGGTAAGGTCTCTTGTAACACTCATTTTTTAACACTAACAATCACGTCAGGAAAAGCACTGCATTGTAACAGCCTAATGGTAGCCCTTTATTCTAAGCACTTGGTGTTACGAGTCAAAAACTACTTTTTTTTTGTTTTATTTTGTTCTAAAGTTGTCTTTTATTTAGGGTTTGAATTGTGGTTTTGGTGATCTTATTTTTTTGTAATAACAAGAAAACTCTTTGAGGCATATAAAGTATGTAAGTCAATTTGCAAAACCAGGTACAGTTTTTGTGAAAGAATCTGGCACGCTACATATGCCATAACTATAGGGTATAAAAAGTCACAATGTTTATTGGTGTTCACATATGTAATACTAGGGAAACTACTTCCATCGTCTTTTCTTTACACTTCTGTAAATGATCCATACCCTGTATATGTTAATTCTTAAAAGCCTTAATCCTTCAACTGTTCAGTGTGGGGTGTGTAGTCCAACAGGCTGCCTGTAAACTGTGAGCTCTTTTGTAAGCTGGAAGTACTTGTTACTGTTACTTTTTGTAGGAACCTTTTAATTGAGAGCTGCCAAAGCATTACAATATGCAGTGCCTTAGCATTATAGTAGAAGTACCTTTAGCCTCTTAACATAAATTTTATATATTGTTTTATTAATTGGTTCCATTTTTTAAAATACCTGTATTTTTTCCCACAGAAATGCTCTTTGACTGCTTGGTCTAAACCAACCTTCTGTACGAGTCAGTCCCATTATTACGCAGTTAAATGTCTATACCAAAAGGAAAGGTTACCGATTCTTAGTTCTCCGTGAAAAGTGAATTGTATTAATAAATGCTGCCTTTTTAAATTTCATGACCAAATAATTAATTGTGACTCTTCTGCACTCTAGCATGAAAGTGCCTTTGGTTTGAAATTCCAGCTTAGAAAAGTGCTGCCATAATAATGACAATTTGTAGAGAGACCAAAAATATTTAGTTATCACCGTAATGCCTTTGGTTTATTGGAATAAGTTGAATCTACAGGCCTCCATTCACAAAAGAGCACCATTTATAGCAAAGTAATTTTGTTAATGATCAATCTGCTGAAGAATAATCTACTGTTTGCCATTTCTGACAGCATTGCAAACCAGCAACTGATTTGTCTGTGATAGAAAAATGAAAATGATTCACATTTATATTCTCTTCCTCCAGTCGTGCATCTGCATAATGAGAGATCCGCATACTGCAGACTTTCAGACAGTGGACAAATGTGACTTTATTGTTCTCCTCTGATAATATTTTGGTATCTGTGAAGATTTTTTGTTTAGGCAGAAGATTTTGTTTACAAACTTGTGCATGCTGAAAGTCAGATGCATAAAACAAGATGAAAATGGGGAACGGACAATAGCTAGGGTAAATGCAATTGTGTGTTTCTAAGCATTGAAATGTTGAGTGTGAGCGTTGTGGGTGAGGGTGCTGTTAGAGAAACTCTGGCCAGCATGATTCAAAACACAGGGTGTTTTGTTTTTCTCCCAGATGATGGCTTGGGAAAAAAAAAAGCTCCTCTTAATAATGTGTCTGCATTTGATACCTTCTGTGAACGGGGGCCCTACTACACTACAAGTAAAATTGATGGCAAGAGGAGCAAGATTTTAAGAAAACTATGTTAGAAAGAACAAATATCAGCAAAACCAAAAGCTGTCAGAGGGATTATATAGTTGTGAATACAATTTTAACTTGATTTTTAAAGTATTTGATGAAAACTAAGATGAACTTTTTATATATAGAAATCTTGTGACACTGTGTGGTAAATATTGTGATAATTCAAGTTCCCTGTCTCTCAAATATTATTTTTGTTATTCCTTCAAGGTCTAAATCTCACTTACCTCTATAAGACAAGTAATCCTGTTGAACTGAATGAGACTGAGGTAGGGCAAAGACACTTTTCGCCCCACAAGTAGAGCATATATTTTCAGTTATTGCCAAACCTTTCAGCTGTACTAGTCAATATTTGCGACAGACTACACTTCTGTCTCATTAAGATATTAAAATAAGCATAATGGTACCATTTGGGGCTGTTAAAAATTACTACTAACAAATGTAGTTTCACTTACTTGAATTCCAAAATGATTTTATTTAGGTACTGCACCACTATTTTGAAGGAATTGCAGATATAATGCCTGTTTCTCACTTTCCCTTTCTACCGCAGCTACGGCTCGTTAAGTTTGGCAGTAGCTTCTTCCGTTAAAACCTCCACGGTATAGGCTATCTGAAATAATGAAGGGTGTACATTAAAGTTGAATGTAAGTAACTGGCCAGTTCAAGGCGGATACAACATTTGACGTACTAATCCATATCTATTTATTTTTCCACTGCGAGCCCTAGGGCATACTCGCTTGCTGAAGCAGTTCCCCTTATAGTTCTCCTGGATCACCCAGTCACGCATACTGAGAAGCCTTTTGTCTACCCTTACGTGACCCGTACTGACACACGTACCCGGTCCCACAGCAGATGTGCTAATAGAGTCCAGTTTTGTACTTTTCTCAGGATGATCTCTTTTCCCCCACTTATCTTTCATAACGAGATGTTTAGACCCCTGAAAAAGATTGAGGCTGGATAAGTCAAAGTACAAGAAACACTTTGGACATCTTCATCTTTGAACTTTTCAGGTCATTCTTGCTGAGATCATGTAATTAGTTTTAGTGTGTAAATTAAATCTTAAATGCACTCAGTTGACTAAAAGGAGATGGATCCCTGTTACCTCCTTACAGAATATGTGTTTTTGTTTTGTTTTGTTTTGTTTTATGGGCCTCTGATTCAGGCTCATGACTGCAGACAAAAAATACAATATGTGCCTGAAAAAAAAAAAAAGACAAAAGAATTTTATAACATTGAAAACCTGAATAGCCTTTAATTCTTCAGTACATTTTATGTAAAACAGGTTGGGTTTTTGTTTTGTTTTGGGGTTTTTTTGCCATGTGCATTTGTTCACATTTGTAAATGACTTAATGGAATTCTCACTTTATGTTTATTTGTGTAATGTGTATAAAATGGGTTTGTGACTTAAGCATATTCATATATGGTCAGTGGTTACTTTAATATTGTACTGCTGCTGGTAACTTTTGATGTAGAACTTGCCTTTTGATGATAAAGTACCTCTAGGTTAGACAGGGAGGGAAGGCTCTTTGAAAAAAGTGAATGTTCTCCAATGTTTTCTTAACATATTTGCAGAAGCTTTCAAAAGGAGTTTCAGTCAAACCTCTTGGCAGTACAGTATTCTTGTATTTGTTATTGTCTGTGTGTAGGTACTGGTACCTTTTTTTGTTTAAAATGTTTTAAGTGTTGGCTTTAAAGTGAATTTATCTTTAGTATGATAGTAATATGAAAATTATAGGTTTTGTGTGCAGAGAATTTTT